CCAGCAGTGAGGGGGTGGGGCCCCTTGGCCAGTCAGGGGCTTTGGGGAGCCCACTCCGCAGAGACCATGTAAATGGCAGTCAGCACCGTGAAATCACCTGTCCTGCCACCTACATTTTGGAAAGTCCCTACTTATGGAATGTACCTGAAGGGCTAATCCAGCACTAATAAAATGGTGCAAGTTCCCCCCTACCTATTCTCTCCAACCCTAAAAAAAATTAAAAAAAATAAAAAAGAACTAGTCTAAAGAGAGACTGTTGCCAATGTTGTCTATAAATGTGTTTGTAACCTGCTTTAAAATGATTATCACTTCAACTTATTTTCCAATAAAATATTCAGACTAATAAAAGCTTTTTGATGCTGCCTAGGCAGGATTTCAACTAGTGGGAGACACGGAAGGACCACTGAAAGTAATGCCGAAACAGCTTTTGATAATGACTTCAAACCAAGACTAATTTCAGATTGCAGAAATTGCACTGTTCATTTTTCTAAGTTACAGCCTTACCCTGTACTTCTTTAGAACTGTCTGCAGAGCCTGAGTTGTGTAGTACTCAGACTTTTTGAAAAAACTGAATCATGTATTGCAAACATGGGCCCCAATAAACCCCTAGAAAACTATTTAGAAAAAATGAATACTGCATCTGCCAACAGTGTAATAACAGCATCACCTACATCTTCTACTATGCTTTTTAATCAAGATTCAAACAGTTTAATAGAACATCAGCATCATTTTCTGCATTTGAAAAGTTGGAAAATTAGCCCAAGAAGCCAAGTGCATTAACCACTGGGAAAAAAAAAGCCTAAAGGCCATATTCTAACAGTCAACTAGAATACCTGCACTATTACAAAATAAGATAATTGCAAACACGTAGATTTTAATGAATTTTCCACCAACCACCCTTTCACATTACAAAACGTTAAATGGAACTGAAGAAAGGAAGAGGACAATTTAAAGCAAGTACTAATAAAACTTAGATCAAATCACTATCATTTGGCATGCCAACAGACTAATTCTATAGGTATTTTATGTTACTGTAACAACAACAAAAAAACAGAGCATTTTCAACTCTGTAACCAATACCTACTAGAAAAAGTTAGGCATTAAGTCGCTTAAAAAAGTGAAATGAATAAAATTACACTACTGGTTCTCAAGCAAGCCTGTGGATCACTGGTGGTGCAGGACACTTGGTAAGGTTTGCTTGTAGGCTACAACTTCCTTACAAGACAACTACAAATAAATTTACTTTCCCCAATATAAGCAATTGCCATATGGGAATAATACAACTAGGAAAGGAGGGTTGGAGCATGTAGCCCCACATGGCCTAAGGCAGTGTCCCCCAACCTTTTTGCCCCACAGCACATTTACCTAAATAAAAAAGCACAGCAGCACACTGGATGGGGACAGGGGAAGCGCTGTACAGCCAGCCGGATGGCATTTTGGGCTGGAGCCATGCTCCCCCTGTGTCCACAGCATCAGTGGGCAGGGGGTGTGGCTTGGGAAATGTTGATCTAAGGGAGTGATTTTCAACCACAGTACCTAGCCTTGTGGCATGCCTTGACATCCTTTCAAGGGTACCATACAATGTTAGCACTGTTAGGTTTCCAAACATGAGTCACAAGATACACCCAAAGATTTCAAATAGAAATCCAGTTCTGGTGTCTCCAAATTCTTTACAACAAATAAAATTGCTCTATTTTTCAGTAACCAAAAAAGCAGTGAATATTACTACTGTTAAAAATAGAGCTGACATTTTTTGAGGAGTTCCATGAGTCTGTCCAAGAGCGCTTTTGGTTTACCTTGGGGTATCTTGAATCTAAAAAGGTTGAGAACCACTAGTCTAAGAAATGTGAGGAGCAAGAGTTTTGGTGATGTCTTTTACTGGACCAACTATATAATGGGGGGAGGGAGGAGAGAGAAGGGGAATGTAAAACAAGCTTTCAGGCAGCCATTGGGATTACCAAGGGAAGACTGCTATAATTAATCTCCATATTAAATTATGGTTCACATTACTGTTTAATATATCATTGCATGCATGCGTGCGTATACACGTGCATTTAAGTAAAGTCTCAGGCAAGCAGTCTGCCTCGTGTGGGATGTGAACTCTGATGACAACATACGATTAGAGGGAGATAGGTAGGCAAGTCATTCTGAAGTCAAGCAGAAACGCAGGGTAGACTAACCAAATCAGAAATGCACATGCTCACATCACTTCATGAGGTAAGCTCAGGCTCATGAAAGTTTGTGCATCTCTAATTTAGTTAGCCTACAAATGATCTTTGCTACTCAGCCTTATGCTTAAGTGTGCTACTTCTTGTTCCTCTGAGGATTTACCTTTACTGGACAGCCACCAAATATGTTGCATGCATTGGGATGTTTAACACATTAATTACAATGTTTTTGCCCTAGCAAAGACAGAGCCTTAGGACTAAGACTATTTCCCCCGAGTTTTAGGGAGTGTGAATGTTAGCTTACAGGTCAGAATTAAACCAACCCACTATACTGAAAACTGCAGTTTTACGCTTGGCAAAGCAAAATGGCTGCACCTCACTTTTACCTGCTTGCTAGTGAAATCTGGATGGGGGGGGGGGAGGAAACTGTTTCAAAATGCCAACAGAAAAGCCGGTTGAGCATCTGGATCCTGTGCAAGGGAAGAGCTTATCAAGTTACGGGGAGCCTCCTTGTTCTGCCCTACTACACTAAGATAAAACAAATTCGTCTCAACTGCTGCAAGAGCAAAGCCACCAAAAAATGGCGGCTAGAAATTTGAGGGGCGGGGGAGAAGATTCCGCATCCCGGCGCTGAACGCCCGCCAAAAGGGCGCGCGGGCGGGAGCTGCGGCGCACTGAGGCCGCT